AACGTCTGTATCTGATTACATTCCCTATCAGAAAGTTTAAGTCCCGTTCTGATCATGTTCGTCGCGTCATAGTGAAAGTTTATACCGTTCAACATGGCGGAGCAGAAACTGGTCTGCAGAGGAGACGAAGTTTATGCTCTGATCTTTAAAAGACGGCGGTGGGACGGACGTCCAGCTTCTGTGTCTCAGAACACGACGTCTTCCTCTCGGCCTTCTTTAATAAGGACACGTGAAGGACGTTTTCCTGAGTGTCCTTTTTTGCTTTGTCCCTTTCAAAGCAATTAAACACAAGCGTGGCAGCTGAAAACGCGTCTCACTCTGACTGGACTTTACGTCATGCTCGTTGTCATGGTAACGTCTACTCTAAGTGGTTCTTCTTTTGGGTCTGATTACTTGTGTGAATGTAAACGGAGATTTTTCATCAGGTTGTTAGGAGTAGAGTGGGAGTATAAACACCTCAGTCTTAATCTATAATTGCATGTAATCTGATTGAATACATTTCAATGACTTTTGCCAAACACAGTGTCATGGATGAGCCATAAACATTTTCCACAATCTGTTATTAGACTAAGGCCCTTTTTGTTTTGTTTTTTTACACCCCTACCCCTTGTTTTTGAGTGTCACCCTAACCCCTTGGAACTGAGTTACAGGGTAGTGGTTGAAATATTGCCCTACGAAATGGGACCCTCAAAAAAAAAAAAACAGCCTACTAGTGCTGTTCTGTAGGCACCTGCCAGTCTGCAGTGACAGCAGAGGAGGGTAAAGTTCAGCTCCTCACTGCTGGGCTTCAGTTACATTTAGGGCATCATATGACTTCAAAGAGGGTGCAATTATTTATTATCGCCCACCCCTAATTCTTCAGTGATATGAAGCTGAAGTCAGATATTCACCAGCTTCTTGTTTGAATTTTCCTGTTCCACCTTAAATCGTGCAGAAGTTACATTCTGGCGCTTCAGGCGTCAGAACTGCTGGACTATTTAAGGTGGAACGGGAAAGTTAGCTAGCTAGCTACCGAGACATTAGCATGTTATTAGCCTATTCCTATTTTTTATGGTTGTTATGAAGAAAACGACCATAATACATTGAAACGACTAACTAAGGCAATACAATGGTTATCATAATTTTTAACAGAGAAAATTCTCACATTTGTGGGTTTCTTTGGTCGCTCGCTCAGCCATCTTGCTGATTTTTAATTATTCATTATTATTATTATTATTATATTATTATTATTATTTTATTTATTTTGTTTTTTTTTCCTTCCATAACCTCTGAATTATGCTTCTAAAAAACCTCCATTTGGTGGGCCATGTAGCCGTAACACTTCGCCCCACCCCTCTATCTCAACAAAAATCAGGACACCCTAACCCTAGACGAGAACGCGCAAAACGGAGGGCTCAGGGCTCAGTGGTAGGGGCGAGGGGTGAAATGGGATTGGGCCTTAGTATCAGCTGTTGCTTCATATTAAAGGAGTCAAGTCCACTGAAGACATAAGGATCATGCAGTCGTGCAACATGTTTTTTGCTATATGGAGGTATCAAGTTTTAAATTTTTAAAATGTGTTGCAACCTTGAAGTAGATCTGCTGTTGCTGATGTTGCTCAGTCTGTATATGCCAGCAGTTTATAAAGTCACGTTTGTGATTCATGTTTAAGAATGTTTTAAATTTCTCAATTTTTTTTTGTCTCCCAACCCAACAGGAAGGATATCAGCCGAGTTTCAAGAGAGGAGCTGCCCAGGGACCTCGAGGTAGCTCTCGAGGTAATGCACAAGTGATGCGATCCTAAGCTTTGAGAAGACTAGTGTCTTTGGCCACCTTGAACGTTCATTTGTTGAGAATGTTAGCCCCTGCCCATATTTTTACTCTTACTTTCTTTCGACATCAGTGGTTTTTCTGTTTTCTTTTTTGTTTTTTTGTTTTTCCTTCTTGGCTTATTGATCAAACTAAGCCTACTTTTGGTAGATTTAATATACTTAAACATTTTAAGGAGACACATGCAGAGCTGGAACTGTCAGTGTTGTGATTTTTCAGCAAGGTTGTGTTAAAAGCAAATAGATATTCCTGTAAACTTGAAAGATTTTCATTAATTTATTTTTTGTATAAAATAAAATGCAAAAAAATACCTGCCACTGTTGGTCCAAATCCATGGGAGTGTTTGGAATATACATTCATGATTTTTGGCCTGTACCTCCTGGGCCCCTACCCTTTGGTTCTTTGATCATTCCCCCCTCTTCTCCCCCTTCTCCATTTCATTTATAAGGATCTCCCTGCAGCCCTGGCCTTTGTATGCTTATGTCGCTCCTTGAGAGAATGTTTCAATAAAGATGTGTTGCATTACCTGCTTGTCTGCTGCTACTTTTTGCTTTTCATGCTCTAAAAATCTCTACACCCGCCTTGGTAGCTCAGTTTCCTGAAATGGGGTGATCAGTTGTCTGGCTTTGCTACAAAAGACTGGAAGGCAGTTGATTGGCTGGCTTAGCTGTCAGTATTCCCACAGCTTTGCTTTCTTGTCTTTTTGCACTATGTATTGTCCTGCTTTCCAGCAAGGTTAATAAGAGTGGGTTGAGATTTTCTGTAGTTGTCTCGTAACTCAATGGCTATAAGATCTTTCCAAGTGTGCTCTCGGTGTGAGACTTTTCTAGCATTTATTCTAATTTTGTCACTACAGGCATTTCTCTCCGCTTTCTTAAGCCAGATAAACCAATCTTGCATGATCAGCCAAATGGTCATTTGTCTTAAAATTGCCACAAGGCAGTCTACTGGTACTGGTAAAGCTAATTCCAAGAATCCAGCAACTGACAAGACATTATTTTGGAAGGGAAGTGGACTAGTTTGTCATGGATGGTGTCATAAGTAAATGCAAACTGTTGCACTGCTTGTTATTTGCTTTTATGATTATTATTTCACCTATTTGGGTGAACATATAGATCATATTGCTGTTGTCAGAAGAAAACCTCATATCTCTGAAATGGTAACTTTACAGGAGAAGGAAAAAACCTACTTTACTTTTAATGTAAGTCAATGGAACCAGAATTTCTCCCCAAGTCATTTTGGGTCGTTTCTTTTAGTCCCTTCATCATGAAGTTTACACACAATTTAAACAGCAAAAGGTATTTTCAAATTATGTCAAAACTGAAAAACAACAAAAATTGTGACGTTTTCTTCCAACAACAGCGACAGACTTGGTACATGTTCATATTAGGCTATTTTAGCTATGCATTCCTTTAGATGAAAACTTGAACTTCAAGTCCTGTTTGCTAAGATGAGCTGTTAGTTGTGTACACAGGTGAGTGGCATTTCATTTAAGACCCTCAAATTGTGTGCATGTAATTTGTGATGGCTGGCTTGCATAACAGAGAAGTGACATAACCTCTTTGACTGGATGATCGATGCTGGAAGTAACCTCCTTGTCTCTTTGGGTTCCAGGACGAGGGGGACCGTACAGGCCGAACAGAGGGATGGGCACCATGGCTGTGCAACAGAGCAGCTAACCCCAACCCAAACTATCCCCTCCAACACTCATCATATCACTCTTATCCCCTCCACTCGTGGCTCCCTGGACTCAACTTGAGCTTGCTCTCGATCCATGTAGCAAGTAAGGACAAAGATGTCAGAGATAGACAACGATAACGAAGCCATACCACTTCTAGCGCTGTATGTTTTAAAGCTTTCCCTGAATCACATGCTGTCGCATAGCCTTAAATCTCTAACGCAGGAACATTTGTGCCTTTTGCTTAATATGGGCTTCTTGTTTTGAACCGGACCAGAATAGACAAGGATGCATAAAACGTAGCCAAAGGAAATGTTCAGACAAATGTGAAGAATTAACCATGTACTGTATTGTAACTTCTTTTTTTTTCCAACTAGTGTATGGAAAAATCTGCATCGTACTGAATGTGATCGAATGAGTGCTTCATAGAAATTAAATTTCTTTGAGTAGCTGGGTTAATTGTGGTTAATTGCATGACTAATTATAATTCAGCTGCAAGTGAACAAGTTTACGACAGTAAACTGTTGAAACACTCCAACACTGTGGTCGTGGTATGTCCAGTTTTGCTCTAAAAACAAAAAAGCCGTATGTGAATATACACCGTTTAGGCACAACATTATGACCACCTCCTTGTTTCTACGCTCATTGTCCATTTTATCAGCTCGACTTACTATATAGGTGCACTTTGTAGTTCTACAGTTACAGACTGTAGTCCATCTGTTTCTCTGATACTTTGTTAGCCCCCTTTTACCCTGTTCTTCAGTGGTCAGGACCCCCATGGACCCTCACAGAGGAGGTACTATTTGGGTGGTGGGTCATTCTCAGCACTGCAGTAACACTGACGTGGTGGTGGTGTGTGAGTGTGTGTTGTGCTGGTCTGAGTGGATCAGACACCGCAGTGCTGCTGGAGTCTAACCTCAGTGTTACTGCTGGACTGAGAATAGTCCACCAACCACAAATAACCAGCCAACAGCGTCCTGTGGACGGCGTCCTGTGACCACTGATGAAGGACTAGAGGATGACCAACACAAACTGTGCAGCAGCAGATGAGCTGTCGTCTCTGACTTTACATCTACAAGGTAGGAGTGTCTAATAGAGTGGACAATGAGTGGACACAGTGTTTAAAACTCCAGCAGCACTGCTGTGTCTGATCCACTCGGACCAGCACAACACACACAAACACACCACCACGTCAGTGTCACTGCAGTGCTGAGAATGATCCACCACCCAATTAGTACCTGCTCTGTGAGGGTCCATGGGGGTCCTGACCACTGAAGAACAGGGTAAAAGGGGGCTAGCAAAGTAGCAGAGAAACAGATGGACCACAGTCTGTAACTGTAGAACTACAAAGTGCACCTATATAGTAAGTGGAGCTGATAAAATGGACAATGAGCGTAGAAACAAGGAGGTGGTCATAATGTTATGCCTGATCAGTGTAAGCATTGATAATTTTTTGTGCCGTGTATTGAGAAGTTAGAATTTCTGCATATGCACTGAAACAAAAGATCACGAATGGAATGCCTCAACCACTTTAATATCTTCAGAATAGCACGCAAAGTTCTACGTAACCAGTAGATAAAACAATAGATAAATTACTCATTTTGTGCAAACACAAGAATACTATGATGCGCCTTGCAGTGGGCGCACACTGTAAATGGCTTGAATACAATGATTATGTTGCTCCTCCACAAAGCAGGTAAGATAAAATAACTGGAATTTACAACAAAATAGATTCTGGATTTCTTTGTCAACAGAACTGTGTACAGTCTAAAGTACAGGTGTGTCATCCGCATTGTGTTTGTATACTTCGGACTATAGTCTGAGAATTGTTTACAGGACAGTTTCCAGATACAAATTAAGCTTGTTTGTTTTTTTAGATTAAATTGTTCCACCAGTGGAAATCTACTACAACTCCTTATCTTGTCTTAGACTATGTTACACTGAAAACCCTTCCTTAATCTGTGTACAGAATACTGGCCCACTATTTCTGACTATTACTTTCATATTAACCGGCAAAACCTGCATTATTATGTCTCTATGATGGCCTGATTCACTACAATTACTAAACAACTCTGATTGCGATAAAACACAAAAGTTCTTGCCACTTGATTTCTATGGGCTATTTTTCTGAAGACAGATTGGATTTAATAGTGCATTAGAAATGCCCAGTTACATTGTTCTCTTGTCCAATTGCTGAATTAATATATCTGGAAAAGTAGCCCTTTTAAAAATGCTAAAAGCTGGCAAAAATCCTTTAAAATGTGTACATATAAAATCATCCCAAAAGTTTCTCCCAAAATTGCATTCTTTATTGAAATACCTGGACCTTACACCTAATGTTCTCCCTGCAGGCTAGCCTTGTTTTCAGTGTACTTTAAAGCTGCACTGGTCTACAAATTTCAGGACAGTCCTAATATGAAGACCAGAATAAACATCACCCACCATGTAAAACATTATTATATTTACTTCCCAAACCACAATGTTTGTTTTCGTTGTTTTTACAGTGGCGTTTAAAATTTTAGAAATAAAAATAAAGTACAAATTAATGTGCAAAACAAACCACACAGATACCATTCCATAACGATAGGCCAAATAATGTCAACCATATGAGAAAAACATTATGGAAAGAAATTATGAATTGTATTCAACTTCTTCAGAGAACTTAGCATCGATCATATTACAACACTTCTGAGAGAAGCAGCCTCTAAAACCGAGAAATCTATAGATCACAGGTGGACTCGGGCTGTTGTTTTCCACTGACTCCCGACACTGGAGAGGAGGTATGAACGGTTCGTGTCTCTAAGTGTGGTGGCAGGCATGTTAATCTATACAGTCAAGGCCCACACTACCTGTCTGTGGTCTAGGGCGCCTATGGGGCACCATGGACCGAGTTGGGATCATGAGGCAGCGGCTGACCGTCCTGGGACTGGTTTGGGTGGCCTTGACTTAGATCTTGCTGGGCAATGTCATTCTGAGCTGCAGGGTGTTCTTGGTCTGGAGGGGCTGGCTGGTGTTCAGTGAGCAGGGCCTGGTCATGCTGAAGTACCTCTGGAACAGCATTGCCTTCAACTGTGAGAAAGTGTTGAGATTTTGCAAAGCATAATATACTGGTGTTCACTTCAGTAATGTCTTAGATACAAGCCAGGTGTTGATTCAGGACTATACAATTGGTGCGTTCCAATCGGGAGGCAGCTGTCTAAGTAGGCAGCATTTGCACACTCCCGAGACGAAGGCTGTCCCATTCAGAAAGCAGCATATGGCAGCTGCCTTAGGTGCCTTATTTTGACCAAATGTGAAGGCAGCATCGCATGTATCCTTCTCAGCGAAGGCAATCCCACAATACTGCTCACGGCTGAGAGTTCCATCGCTTCAGTTAGATAAACATGGCGGACGGAGTGGCCGTTTTTTGTCGACTGAGGAGTCTAAAACATGTAAGTTATTTCTTCACTTCTGTCTTTACTGTTTCAATTGTTGTATTTGTGTAAAGTATTTAACATATTTGTGTTTGTAGGTCTCTAGAAATTGTTCCTGTGGTGAAATTTTGGCTAGCTGTGCAAACGCTCTGGCTCTTTAAAACGTCCGGTTCACTTTAACATACTGGATGGTGTAGAAATTTAGAAATAAAATGTTTTTAAAATAAATACCACAAATGCTTATTTTTGCTGCTCCGCTTGTCTTGCATTGCTGTGCCCACCACAGTGTTTTTTATGACAGTTAAATTTCAGACTAGGAGCTAATAAATCAGATGAGAATGCATAAAATAAAATGCATATTAGCAGCTTAACAGACTGGTGCCATCCTTTTTTCTGAGTGCATTTTGTACAAAATTATACGTCGTTTTTTATCCTTTATGTATAAAGCGGGTTCATTAAGGTGGATGAGGACAGTGAATGAAGTGAAATGAGTCACACACTAGTACGATCATCTGTATTCATCTGGGGCGCCGAGTTCAGTACAGCTATATAACAACCGATACGACTCCTTAAAGCGGCCTGTTCTTCATATCCAAATTTCCAAACAGCTGCTGCAGGTTCGGAGCTGTCCCTATTCACTGAGGTGAGTGTAAGCTAACCAGCGATTGTGAGTAAACAGATAAAACATGTACAGCGCAGTCAAAGTTATGACTTATGTGGCTCTGAAGCTCCGTCCTGAATGCGATGCCACTGAGGTTCCATTTCGGTTAAAATGCTGCCCAACAAGAGAGCTGCCTTGGAAGGCCGTGACTAGTTAGGCAGCTGCCTTCAGAATGGAACGCATTATATATGTAGAAGATCCTGGTTCAAACAAAAGCTTACTCACCATGAACTTCAGATGGTTGCTCTGTCTTTTTTAATCGTTCCATGTGCTCTACAGCCTGAACACGAGTAGAAAGAAAGGCTTTGTAGTTCACATCCTTAATTAAATGAGCTTCACATGAATTGTTTTGCATGTCAGTGCCCAATATATGCCATCGAATAAAAGAACACAGTGATTTCCTACCTGTTGGAGTTGGATTTTCTGGGCGTTGAGCTGCTCCTGTTGTCTCTCCAGCTCTTCACGCTGCTTCTGCAGATCAACGGCTTTCAGGTTTAGGTCCTCCTCCTGCTTGGCTAGGTGCTCCTCAAACTCCCGCATCTCCTCCTCCGTGTAGGCCTGGTTCTGCTCCAGAGTCTGACCACACACACACACACACACAATAGAGTGCTCAAAGCATCCAATCACTACTCAATCATGCAATCAGACTTTGCAGTCATTATCACTGATTACTTGCAGCCATACGTACCTCCCAGCTATCTGGCTCTAGAAATTCCTTTTTCTTTGTAGCAATCAAGAACTCATCTAAGGACACCAGTCTGTCCTTGTTGGCATCAACCTGTTTCAGAAAGAAATAGGACTTCAGAAACTGCACTGTCCTGGTTACGGGCCAAGCACTGTTGAGGATGTTAACCTAACCTAACATATAGGCTCACAGGGGCTGCAGTGTGCACACTTCCAAAATCTTCCACCCATCTCAATACCTGTTTTAACTAACTCTCGTCCACTTGCCTTGTGATTTCCCCACAGAGGAATCCCCAGCACCATCTTAAGGGCCATTTTATTACTTAATTAGCTCAAAAGAGGGTGTTAGATGAGCCCTCGGAGGAACGAGGAATTGTGTGAACGCAAGTCTTGACTTTAGCGGCGGAATTTGCCCAGAAATCATTGCGACCTGATGCGTTTCCTTTTGTCATACCCACAAATAATGGCAGCAGAGCTGTTTATAAGCCACAGCAGGAAACTACAATTAAATGCATTTTTAAATCCATAAATAAACCACATTCGATTTGCTGGGCTCTTTTTTAGGCATGACTGCTGGTACGACTTAATCACTTTCTCTGCTAGCTGACTAGTTAGCATGCTAAAGGATATGCAGCTAGTAGCAGCGAAAAGAAAGACACTACAGCAGTTTATAGATAGATAAAGCAATTATTCACAAATTTTTGCAAATTTCAAATAATCAAAAAAAAATTTGCATGAGTAGCCAATTAGCTTAGACTAACTTACTTACTACCCTCCACTCCACTTCAGCTGTGAGTGGCCACTTGTGTAATGTAGGTGTGATGCATATCTGAGTGTTGAGTCAAAGTGGAGGAGGGCATGTTTAAAAAAAGTGAAACAGGCCCTTCACTATGCACATCTGCACATCTGTGCATCAAGCAAATGTCAATTGACAAGACTGGTAGCTTGGGGGCAGCATTAGACCCAAACCATACTAAGTTTAACCCTTGTGTGGTGTTGGGGTCTGTGGAACCCATTTTCAATGTTTACCAAAATAAAAAATTATGCGATGTTTAATTATTTCAACTTCAGATTCTTGTTCTTTGCTCATTTTCTGTGAAGAACATATAAAATAACCCATTTTCAGTGTCTTCACTCTGTTCACCCCCCACACATTTATATTACACGTGGTGTTGGGTGAACCTGCCGGGAGTAAAAGTGTGGAGGTGCTGTGTCCTTCACTCTGTTCTCCTCCTACATGGCCTGCTGTTAGTGTGTGTGTGTGTGTGGACAACATGGACAGGCTGCTGACTGGCTACAGCTACTAAAGGAGAACTCTACACTGGACACTTGTGATATTTTAAACATCTGGTATTTTTACATAAATTGTTATGGCTGTATTGACTTAAAAAACAATAATGCGGAGGGTCCAGCAGACCACTGAGTAACACACACATCAACATCACACAAGGGTTAAAACTGAACTAGCACAAAATCAAAATGGAGCAATTGGAGGATCGGTTGGCAGAAGATGTACAACATTATAATCTTTTATACGACCCATCTTCAAAATATTACCCCCCGCCCCTTCCTTCCTTTCTCCTCTTCGTTTTCTGTACAGGGTTAGGACACTGCCCCCTAGTGTACATGTTCATGCTACGTGTAAGTATTTTGGCAGAAGCCATCTGCGCACACGTTAAGAAAGACACCAATTCCTGGCTCACTGTATTACCTCATTCATGACGTGCTCTCTCATTCGCAGCCTCTCTTCCTCCATCTCCACCATGTCGTCCTCCTCATTCGTAGGATCATAGATCTTCTCCAACTATGAACACAATTGCAAAGTCTATTAGAACCATGAACGTTATTTTTCCGGAATGCCTTTATTTAAGAAGTAGAACACGAGAGGGAGTGTGTTATCGCAAAATATTCATGATAACACACTCCTCGAGTGTTCTATTGCTTTTATACAACAGTTAAATAAATAAAGTAATAAATAAATAAACTGGGCCGTGAACGCGGCGTTTAATGTTTTAATGTTCGCAGTTCCTTCACCAAATTATAGTTCCTTAACAAGCAGCTTGTTGCTGCATCAGAATAACGAGCTCCGCCCACTCGCTGCACAGTCTGCTGTAAGCCTCGCCTTTTGAAGTACAGACTGAGCCATAAAACTGCCGCAATATCAAGTTCAGCTCAGTTTTGTCAGTTTTTGCCAGATCAGTATTAATGTTGTTTTGTTCCAGTCAGTCTGTAAAGCATCTTACAGGCCATTTAGTTTGGCGAATGGTGTTGGGTTCATTTCTGGCTGATTCCAGGTTGTTCAGCTGTTCTTCTGTCACAGCTGCCGACTGAAAAGCTGCTCAGTGGTGATGACAGTTTGGGAATTTAGTGTCGTCTCATCTTCAGAGTCTGACCAACTCGGCTGTCGGTCAAATGTGATCTTTAAAGTGTCCATTTTCTGTTTGTGGCAAAGTAAGAAGTAAAAAACGTTCAAATGTCTTGAGCGTCTCCTACAGCTGTCAAAGTCGTTGCTTAGCAATGGCGTCTCAGCGGAGTGATACAGTGTTTGTGAAAAACCTGTGATATTATGGTGAAATAACAGCACAGTTGGAACGCTTCTCAACCAATCAGCTTGCATGGCCGGAACTAATTTGTATAATATGAAAATATGTAATTATCTACCTCTTTAGTAAACAGGGCCTCCAACTCTTGCTCATCAAAGAATCCATCTCCATTCGTATCTGTATTAAACAATGCACAAAAACACACATTGAGATTTCATTATCAGAGCTAGTTAAAGACTCATGGTCACCTATAATATATCGGTAGGGTCAGTGAATATCTTACCATGAAGGTTGAAGAAAGTTTTTGGGTCAAAATCTTCTGGGTCAAGACCATCTGCTTCCTCCCAAACCTCTTTCAGCTGATCCTGACTGCCCTGCAAACCAAGTACACTCAGCGTTCACAGGAGTTTCTCTCGTAGCAGACGCCATGTTTAATATCTCATTAATATGCCTGCAGTTTAAGGGATTAAACGTACTGGGTGATTGACTTTGGGGTGATCAGCGTGCTTCTTCTTCATCTCCTCATAGTGCTCCTCTTCCTTCTTCCTGCCCTCCTCGTCCAGCGTCTTCAGGTGCTCTCGACGCTCGTGCTCTTTCATCATTTCATACCTCTTGAACTCTTCATGTCGCTCCTTGTCAAAATTCTCCAAATCCTTTGTAGCCTAAACAGACATTAATAACCACAACATAGATGTTACTTTTGTTGGAGATGCTCATATTTTGTTCACCACACTTTTAATAAGTTTCACTTGATTCTGAACTATCGACTCTGCAATGTACAACCCCATTTCCAAAAAAGTTGGGACGCTGTGCAAAATGTAAAAAAAACAAAATGCAATGATATGCAAATCATGTAAACCAAATACCTATATGATGTACAAAGACAACATATCTAATGTTGAGAAATTTTATTGGTTTTTGAAAAGTTTTTGCCCATTTTGAGTTTGATGCCAACGACACACTCCAAAAAAGTTGGGACGGGGGCCTGTTTATCACTGTGTTTCATCACCTCTTCTTTTAACAACGGAACTGAGGAGACACTGCTGTAGTTTTGAAAGTGAAATGTTTTCATTTTTGTTTGATACAGGATTTCAGCTGCTCAACAGTTCAGGGGCTCCTTTGTCATATCTTTCATTTTATAATGTGCCAGATGTTTTTGGTGGTGACAGGTCTGGACTGCAGACAGGTCAGTTTAGTGCCCGGACTCTTTTAATATGGAGCAATGCTGTTGTAATACATGTAGAATGTGGTTTGACATTGCTGAAATAATCAGGGCCTTCCCTGAAAAAGACGTCATCTGGTTGGCAGCAAATGTACGTATATATCGTTCAGCATTAATGGTGCCTTCACAGATGTGCACATCACCCATGCCACGTGCACTAATGCCCCCTAAACCATCATGAATACTGGCTTTTGAACTGTGCACTGATAACAAGCTGAGTGGTCTTTATCCCGGAGAACACAGTGTCCATGATTTCCAAAAAGAATTACAGATGTTGATTCGTCTGACACTTTTCCACTTCCCCTCAGTCCATTTTAAATAAGCTCAGGCCCAGAGAAGGTGGCAGCATTTCTGGGTTCTGTTTATATTTGGTTTCTTCTTTGCATTTTAGAGTTTTAACTTGCATTTGTGGATGTAGTGATGAACTGTTTTCACAGACAGTGTTTTCAGAAGTGTTTCTGAGCCCATGCAGTGATTTCCACTACAGAATCATGTCTGTTTTTAATGCAGTGCTGTCTGAAGGCCCAAAGATTACAGCCAGCAAATACTGGTTTTTGGCCTTGTCCCTTACACACAGAGATTTCTCCAGATTCTCTGAATCTTGTAATGATATTATGTACCATAGATGATGAAATGCAAAAGTTCTTTGCTATTTTATGTTGAGAAACGTTATTCTTGAATTGTTGCACTATTTGACTGTGCAGTCTTTCACAGAGTGGTGAACCCCTCCTCATCTTTACTTCTGAAAGCCTCTTTTTGCCTTTTGTTGCCCAACTTTTTTAGACTGTGTTGCTGGCATCAAATTCAAAATGGGCAAATATTTTTCAAAAATAAATCATTTTTATAAAATTAAAATTTCTCTGTTTCAACATTTGATTTGTTGTCTTTGTACTATTTCAATTACATATAGGGTTTAAATGATTTGCACATCATTGCATTTTGTTTTTATTTACATTTTGAACGTCCTAACTTTTTAGGAAATGGGATTGTCGTTATTTTCATACACAGTATTTAATGCAAGTGTGCAGGTGGACATGTGGTTTAACCTTACTCTTATGTGAATGAGCTACTCCACTTTGATATCAAGTACTAACTTAAATAATGCCACATATAGATACCCACTGTTCATCACTGCTCACCTACAGAAGTGTACGTACCCTCCCAAAGGAACATAGCAATAATAAAGGCACTAGACTATCGTCAAATATCATCCGTTTATTGTCAAAAAAGTTAAAATGAATTGACAAGTAAAGAGACAGCAAATGAGTGAGGGCTGTGTTTGTTACCCAAATAAAGGTCCTCCTGAAACACATTAGCGGGTAAGGGTTCTGAATGAGAGCACAAGTGAAAGCATACCGATTTGATGAGTCTGTCCAGATCCTCCACCTCAAACGTGTGAGGGTTCATGTGGTTTAGATACTCAAACTGCTTCAGTAAGGCCTGGTGGTCCACAGCCATATCTGAGGAGTAGGAACAGCAGAACTGTTTGAAATATGTGCTTCAGTTTCATCCACCTGTTTGCAGATCTTGAGCTTAACAGAACAATTTAACCTGTTCAACTCATTGGGACCACCGGTGGTTCCAAAACGCACTTCATCATATTCTTCATAACTTTCATATTTCATAAGCTACATTCTAAAGGTGGGGCTCATATGAGAGCTGTAACTGTCTTCTACCCAGTCAAATAGATGGGTAATGTAATTTTAAACCCTTCTGATAAAAGAAGCTGAACTCGTCGACCCATTTTTCCACAAATCTGAGCTATAAACTATAAACAGATGGCGTCTCTTTGGTGATCTGCTCTGTAAACATTATTTTTATAAAAAAAATACAAAGAGCGTCTGAGATTTTTGGCTTTCAGCAGTAAATTGTAAGCATATAGCAATATTTGTATGATCATAAAACATGTTCTGTTAATTTGAGGGGAGCTTTTACCAAAAATAAATAAATAAATAAATAAATAAACAAACATTTACATTTATTTCATGCCGTTCCTGAATAATTTGCCTTACGATTTGGTCATGTGAATTCAGATGGAAATATACCCTGGTTAATATTAACTGTCTTCACCCCTTGAACAGTTTGTATAAAGCACACAGTGAATTCGCACAACAGAAAAATTTTAAGTACCACTACTTTGAAGAATGGATGTAAATGGAGCCCAACATGAAGCATATTACTATTACAACACTGATGACAGTGGCTGCAGGCATGTGTGTCAATGACTAAACCACAGTGACAAAGCTCTATATGGGTAAAAAGGAAGCTAAAGAGAGAAAAAGAGAGAGCGGATATGAAATCTGTGATCCCTCTAAACTGCTGTATCATTTTTTGTGTGGTATTTTACTCACCGTTGCCTCCTTCGATGTCTTGTTTAGCTTTGATCAGCGTCCTCAGCCGGCTCACCTCCTGCCTTTTCAATTCATCCAGCTTAGTTCTCACATGATGGCTGACGAAGTCCAGTTCTTTAGCCAGCTTCCCTTGCTGGAATTGAAGAATTATTAGTTAGTAAACTGATTAGCAAAATCATGCGAGTGTACAGAACGTTCATCATATTACCTTTATATCCTCCATGTCTGTGTTGTGCAGCTTTTCTCTAAAATGCTGGTCTTTTTCGAGAAAGTCGATAACTTCCCTGAGGTAGCGGTCATAATGCAGTCCAGTGTCCTTAAAAAGATAAAAAAAGATATTTAACCTCTTATTGACCAGGGTATATTTTGGTTTGTCCATCTGAATTTACATGACCAAACTGTAAGGCAAATTATTCAGTAACTGCATGAAATAAATGTAAATTTTTATTTTATTTATTTATTTTTGGTAAAATCTCCCTCAAATTAACAGAACATGTGTTTTATGATCACACATATTGCTATATGCTTACAATTTACTGACGAAAGCCAAAAATCTTAGACGCTCTTTGTATTATTTTATAAAAATAATTTTTACAGAGCAGATCACTGAAGAGACGCCATCTGTTTATAGTTTAAAGCCCAGATTTGTGGAAAAACACATCAACTTTCAGTAGAAAAAGAAAATTGTAAAAAATTACAAACACCCATCTATTGGACTGAAAAGAAGACAGTTACAGCTCTCATATCACACCCATCTTTAGAATGTAGCTTATGAAATATTAAAGTTATGAAGAATATGACGAGGTGCGTTTTGGAACCACCGGTGGTCTCAAGGAGTTGAAAAGGTTAAAAAGTGAAATTAATAATAATAATAATAATAATAATAATAATAATAATAACAATAAGTTACATTTATATAGCACCTTTCACAAACCCAAAGTCGCTTCACATAGCATGGGGGGGTGGGGGGGGATCAAGAGTAAGCAGTGAAGGAGGAAGAAAAATGTCTAAGTCAGATTTGAAGGAGGAGAAAGAGGAGCAGTCCCTGAGGGATTGAGGAAGAGTGTTCCAGAGTTTGGGGGCCATGGCACTGAAGGACCTCCCTCCCAAAGTCTGGTGCCTGGACAGCAAGTAAGTTATTACAAGAAGACCTGAGAGAGCGAGAGGGAGTGTAAGAGGTCAGCAGTTCTCTGAGGTAGGGGAAAACAAGGTTACGCAGGGCTTTGAAAGAGAGTGGTAAAATGTTAAACATTATACGGGACGGGACCGGTAGCCAGTGCAGCTGAGAGAGAACGTGAGTGATGTGAGCTGAACGCTTAGTATGAGTGAGAACTCCAGCTGCAGAGCTCTGAACGTACTGTAGCTTTTGTATAGACTTTACAGGGAGACCAACAAAGGGGGAGCAGTCTTAGTGAGGAACTTAATATGCAGATCAAAATTAAGTGATGGGTCGAGTAAAACACGAACTGAAGGATTTAAGCCAAACTGGAGTCGTAATTCTAGCATTTAATGTGCAGGTACAGGTGCACATGGCATGGAGTACCAGGCACTATTACGAATAAGAGCTGCTCTGTTCTGACATTAAATAGTAACTCAAATAATAAAGAATACCCTAAACATGGTACTGTACATCTACGTGAGGTACAGTGTGACTGATCTATATGAATGAGAAGCGAGTGAGTGAGAGCTGTCTGTGTAAGGGTCCCCTTAAAACACAATATCAGATATCAGAGATAAGGACAGCGCATATCTGAGGAGTAGGAACAGTTGAACTGTTTGAAATATATGTGCTTCAGTTTCCACGTGTTTGCAGATCTTGAGCTTAACAGGACAATTTAACTGCCTTTCATTCCTGGAACTTTCACAGTTTGTAGAGGGCAAACAGTGAATTTACACAACAGGGAAATTTAAAGCGCCACTACTTTCGAGACTAGAAGAACGGATGGATGCAAATGGAGCCCAACATGAACCAAAAACAAACATCACTATTACAACACTGATGACAGTGGCTGCAGGCATGTTTGTCAATGACTAAACCACAGTGACAAAGTGAGTGAGAGCTGGATTTCTTATCCATGTAAGGGTCCCCTTAAAACATAAGATTAGATATTAGAGGACAGCGTTTACTTAAAAAGCTCTGCTAAGGGGTCTGTTAGCTGACGTAACAGATCTGGCGGTTGGCGCTTTCCTCAGCGCGTTCGGCTGTCCAGTGATGTTGCGTGAGCGGCAGCTCGAAAAGAAGCGGTGGCTGGTTTCACAGGTCTCGGAGGAAGCCTGTGTTAGCCTTCACCCTCCTAGCGTTGATAGTATCGTGTGATTGGGGGAGTCCTAACTAGCGGGTGGAATTGGAGACGACTAAATTGGGGGGGGGGGACCTCTGCTAAAAAAAAAATCTTAAATCTAGTTAATACATATTTCTCACTTTGAGATTGCTGCAAGAATATTATAAGATTATTCAACTTATGTCAAGATATTTTCACTTAAATAATTTTATTAAATGAAATTATTTCACTATATTGGCAGATAATTTTGCTTGTTTTAACAAATATGCTTGAAGTAATAAGTAAAATAATCCCATTACATTTAGAGAGCAGTTACTTGTGATGAATTACTTTTTTCTGAGTAATGACAGCAACACTGGAGCGATCTATACTAACACTGATGCTAGCATTATGTTCAGTCTGCTGAGCGTTCAGCCCTCTATTCTGACTGAAAAAAACAAAGCTGGCTTTTGCTTTCCTCCCTATTTTTGTGTGTTTTCTGCTGGACTCAACAGCCAAAAATCACACCAGACCTCCTCTTTATAACACTAGATGATCAGTTAAAGGTGCAGTGTGAAGATTTAGGGAGATCTATTATCAGAAATGGAAAACATTATACAACACCATGTATAATCACCTGTAACTATGAACCGCTGGGTCTTCTTTGGCTTAGATGAGCCCTTCATATCTACATAAGGAGTGGGTCCTATTCCAAAGGAGGCCACTATGTTTCTACAGTAGCCCAGAACGGACAAACCAAGCACTGACTCTAGAGGGCGCCTTTCGCTTTTTTACACTGATGGAGCAGCTTGAATTTGGTGGCGCTGTAGTTTCGGTTGGAAGACACAGAAAAAAATCAGTGGCTGCTGCTAGAGCTGGCTAACGTTTTTGTGTTGTGAGAAGTTTAAGAACCCACATTTTGACAAATAATAATGATAATAATAATAATGATAATTGGAGGATTAATAAATGGAGAATCAGACTTATTATTTAGCACAAGAAAAAGCGAGAGAGGAGCAAAACCTAAGGCCACCGTAGGTTCTACTACAAGCTTGGAAAGGGAGGGGTGAGGGAGGGGTATTCAGTTGTTATTATATGTTATTTCGCCATAACATCATAGGTTTTTCACAAACACTGTATCACTCCGCTGAGACGCCGTTGCTAAACAACGACTTTGACAGCTGTACGAGAAGCTCAAGACATTTAAACGTTTTTACTTCTTACTTTGCCACAAGCAGAAAATGGACACTTTTAAGATCACATTTGACCGACAGCCGATTTGGTCAGACTCTAAATTCCCAAACTGTCATCACCACTGAGCAGCTTTTCAGTCGGCAGCTGTGACAGAAGAACAGCTGAACAACCTGGAATCAGCCAGAAATGAACCCAACACCATTTGCCAAACTAAATGGGCTGTAAGATGCTTTACAGACTGGCTGGAACAAAACAACATTAATACTGATCTGGCAAAAACTGACAAAACTGAGCTAAACTTGATATTAGATCAGTTTTATGGCTCAGTCTGATTTGGTCAGACTCTGAAGATCAGACTACACGCTTGGTGAATGGTATTGGGTTCATTTCTGCCTGATTCCAGGTTGTTTAGCTGTTCTTCTGTCTCAGCTGCCAACTGAAAAGCTGCTCAGTGGTGATGACAGTTTGGGAATTTAGTGCAAAATGACTTGGACAAAAGTCTGGTTCCATTGACTTACATTAAAAGTAGAGTATGTTTTTTCCTTCTCCTGTAAAGTTACTATTTTGGAGATACAAGGTTTTATTCCTACAATAGTGATATACAGGTTATTTAACATTAACACATACAGCATATCTAATTTTTATTCTCATAGGAGTCTTGTAGGTTGCCTAGTGCAAAGTCCGCCCCTGTTTATATTATATTTGATCGTTTTTATGTATGAAATTTTTCTTTCTGTTTTGATATTTCTTGTTTAAAGGCAGGACTGTATATGATTTATACAGGGTAGTCAAAATAAGCTATAGCGTCAGACTCCACCTTTTCAGTACTGATTATTATGTCCATCAATTTTATATCTCTAATTTTTACTTTTATTTTTGTGTTGTCTATTTTTTTCCCCATTCTCTTTCATTTTTATGAGCGTATACACCTTAATAAACATATTATTATTAAGTATTTCAGTTAAAACCGGTGAGCTTAATAACACTGAGCATGGTGAAACATGTTAAAGTGTACTTACCACACTCTGGGGTGGCTCCTGCACCGTCTCCTCCGGTACCTTCACTTTAGTCTTGTCTACACTGATCGGCACTGCCTCTGAACTGAACAGCAGGCTGGCGAGCACAAGGCAGCTGGTGAGGAGTCCGTTTGTCCAGGACATCTGGAAACAACAGAAATTGGCCAAAAAATGACGAACGGTCTCTTTTTGACAGTGTGCGAATGTCAAATTGCTCCTTACGGAATAATAATACTAATAATTCTGACTTCCAGCCTATTAGTACACTGTATTTCATATAAGGAGGCTTTTGGTCTCTGGCAGCGAACCATATCATCACAGCTCGCCTCGACTAGACGTCATTTTCTGATTAGCTAAGTTAATTAGTTAATTATTGTTGAGGGTCAGACACCTATCTACCACAGACAGCTGTCTTACTGGCTACGTGTCATTCCGTTTGTGCGTCTGATGACAAACAGCCAACTTAAACAGTATTATTGACGGGTTTAGGCGATCGGCCAATTGGCTGCTGACACGCCGCCGGACCAGAAACAGGTTCTCGCCAAACCTCAGCTGATGATGATGTGGTCTCATTAGCTAACAAGTCCACTGGCTAACGCTAATGTCTTACCGGCCACTAACGTTACCTAAGATCAGCGAACTATCGTTTTACAGAGAACGTCTGTGGCCGAAAGACTGACCAGCTATTCATGCTGCAGTGGCGAAGAAGCAAACGAGGAACGTTAAATACAGAAACGAGCGATTCACACTTACTTTGTCTGGCTGGTTCTTTACCGACACGCTATCTTGAATATGCTCTGCTTCCTCGCAGTTGGTCTTTCATTACCGCTGGAGTTCCGTACAGCCCTGGGTTAGAGAACTACACTAGCTGTGCGATTTCACCACAGAACGTGTAGAGAGGAGAACTGCCACTCTGCATATCTTCTTGTTTACTCAAACGCTAGAGGGCGCTCCCTAACGAGTCCAAAATGAATGGGTTGGTATGGAGCTTTTGAGCAAAATCATAGTTTATAAATGTTTAAACGTTTTCGATGTAAAAGAATACAACTGTTTCCTAAACACAGAGCAGCATAAAACATTTTAACACCGCTGTTATATTTTTAAGAGCTTTTAAACTCGAGCTATGGGAGTTTAAAACGGCGTCTCATGTACGTTCATAGCGTCTGTGAGCGCGAACAGCCAATGAGCTGCTCCGCTCGCCAGTCAATCATCTCGCTCTAGCACTAAAGCCCGCCTTCTGCTGCCCAAAACCCGTTTGCTGCAGAAAAAAGGAAAAATGTAGGTAAGATTTCTTTGTTTTTTTAGTGAAATTCATCCTTCTACTTTCTAAAATTAAAGGAAAGTTCTGGTTCGGTGATTAGAAACTATTTTAGCTTTTTGTTTTTAGCCGTTGAGCTCCTTTCACTTCCATTCATTGAGGACTCCCTCGCGGGCGCCCTCTGCTGGTTAGCAGTCCTGTTTTTGATATAACGGGGGGATAGGAAGTGGCCAGGCTCCTCATAAACCGGCTCTGATTTCGCTAGCCAGCTAACTGAAGAAAACGCAAGCAGCTGAGACGCGATCGTTTTTCATAGCGCCATCTATCGGTTGGTATTATGTTAAAGCAACCGGAGCACAGCGCTACGCTTAACCGGGCCATTCATGCCTTGTATTTATAAGTAAAACACACAGACGATTATTGCTGCTCTTCGCGTAATACGTAACATGAAGTATATGAGGAAAAGAGCAGTACTGTACGCAACTGGATGCTGTTTCACAAACAACCACTAGGGGCCGACACTGATGGTCAGAGTCCAGACAGGCACGCGTCACGCAGCTCCGCTGAGCACTACATGCTCACCACCCACGAATCCGCCGTGTGCCTGACATGCAGATCGCATACACGACTTTCCACTGAATCAGGTGGAGAAAAAAGTCCTCTGACTGTAATGTGAGACTCTAAAAACCTCTTACCTCTGAGTTTTCAAGACACGTTAAATGTTAATGTTGAGTAATGTCTGATTTCTGGGTATAATAACCATATCTTGTATAATCTGGAAGATTTCCATATCAGTTTTCTATCCCTGAGTACCTGCATCTCATTTATTTATCTACCTCAGACTAACTGCACATACGGAAATGTGTACAACAGTACATTTCATAGTTTTATTACATAATTTATTACTGTACAACTGTACATTGGAATAGTGCAATACTAGTGTATATTGTGTATATGTGTATATGCGGAGTCGGTATATATATATATATATATATATATATATATATATATATATATATATTTCTTTTTCTTCTTAGATATTTATATTTCTTTGTATTTAAATTCTATAAGGGGGCTACGCACCTAAGATTTTCACTCACTTTCCATCTGTGTAAATGTGATGTGACAATAAACGTGATTTGAGATTTTTTAAATGGTAGTTTGAGAAGATTTTGAATGGAAATTTTTTTCTATCTATCTATCTATCTATCTATCTATCTATCTATCATATGTGTGTGTGTGTGTGTGTGTGTGTGTGTGTGTGTGTGTGTGTGTGTGTTCAGTTATTCTGATACATTTTGTGTAAAACCCACTCCCAGCAAGATAAAACGTGAAAAAAAAAACATAAAAGTGTCTTTTTATGTATTTATTAACGGAGATAAATATATGAATAAGGTTTTAAAAGACTATATTTGTATTCTATACTTATAGAGATTTTTGCATTCACATATTTATATCTTTTACGGTATTTTTTTCAAATTCACGTATGAAAATAGATAAAATAAAGAGTAAACATACGTATATAACATAATATAATATAATATAATATAATATAATATATAACTACATTGTCAAAATTATCGTACTCAGAGACTTTTGTTGTTTCTCCTGATTACGTCAGTTCCGCTGCAGGCGCTACTTCCCCCCCGCCTCGTGTATCCGCTCTCTCTCTCTCTCTCGGCTCCGCTGATCGCCATCATGGGTCGCATGCACGCTCCCGGGTACGTCTTTATTTTACGCAGAAATACTGATCACAGCGGTGTAAACGGTGTTAGTGCGGTTTGGTCGAAGCCCCAGTGCGGTCCTGTCGGTGGAACAGCCGACTGAAATGCCCGGTATCGGTGAATAAAAGTGCGTTTAGTGGGAAACCCGCCCTCCGCCGTGTAGCCCAGCAGGCATCATGGCCGCGGATGGGCGCACGGCGGAGGGGACGGCAGCCCGGTGCTCGGTAATGCAGACAGACAGCTGAGATTTAATAAATTCATAAAGCAGAATCGGTTCGGTTCGGTTCGGTTCTGTACGGCGGGTGTGAAGCCGCGCGCCTGTTAGGAAAGCTGGGGCGCCTCGCTGCAGATTCACTGAGTCGGTGTTGGTTCTTTAGCGGGTTGAGTCGCTCTAATAGAGAATATTCACTGTAATATCAGAAAAATGAGCCTAAATCACAGGTCTGAGCATTTCTCAAACGTTCCCCCTCAATATGTTCACATTTCAGACCCTTAAAAACGAATCATGCTGGTTCAGCGCCGCACGTTCGTCTCTCGTTGAGAATTAAAGTTAATGTATGTACATTTAAAGCTAGATATAAGAACTAAACTCTATGGTAACGATGTGCAGATGTCTTGGAAACGTTTTAATATTGTAGTTCATGTTCATCTGTATGTTGATGGTGTCTGAAGACGACATGGTTGAAGCTGTTTATCGTTGCTGTCAGAAAACCTCACATCTCCCTTTTTCAGTTTTTCACATAATCTGGAAATGTATGTTGCTCTTTACATGTGTGTAAGTTTCATGATGAACGGACCAAAAGAAACAACCCAAAATGACTTGAGGGGGGAAAAAAAACGTCTGGTTCCATTGACTTACATAAAAAACGATTTTTCCCCCCCCCTTTACCGGTAAAGTGATCATTTTGGAGACACGAGGTTTTCTTTCAACAACAGTATGCTACTCGATAGGCCTGGATGGCAGATTTCCAGTGGTTACTGATCATGTTTTCTACCTTTTTGTGTTTCAGTAAGGGCTTGTCCCAGTCAGCACTTCCATACAGGCGCAGTGTCCCCACAGTGAGTACCGGCTCTCCAGACTGTCCATATAATTTATAATTAACTTTATTTTTAAACTGCTTTCCTAATTAATGTTTCCCTCTGTTGCTTAGTGGCTGAAGCTGACATCGGATGATGTTAAAGAGCAGATCTTTAAACTGGCCAAGAAGGGTCTGACCCCCTCACAGATTGGTATGTTATGGAATTTATGGTTGTTTACCATGTTTGGAGGCTGTCTTCAGTAAAGTTGGTATTGGAGTAAGCGTTTTTCTAGAGGGAATGACTGTAGTTCGTCATCCACCTCAGCATGCCAGCCATGCAACAGCAACAAAATAAACACAGTAAATGCTGTTCTTGCGGATTCCTGCTTAAATACCTACATTTAACAATCATGGCTTTGATTTTTTTTTTTGTTTTTTTTCCTGTATTTTATAGAAATATTTTAGTTGACATGCACTTGTGTGGTGTGTTTCAGGTGTGATCCTGAGGGATTCTCATGGTGTGGCCCAAGTACGCTTCGTCACTGGCAACAAGATCCTTAGGATCCTGAAGTCCAAGGGCTTGGCCCCCGATTTGCCTGAGGATCTGTACCACCTCATCAAGAAGGCCGTTGCTGTGAGGAAGCACTTGGAGAGGAACAGAAAGGTAAATACGACTACAGCTGAGTTTATGGACAGTTTTGATCATGTGGGCATGTATTGTGCTGTTTCAGTAGCATATAGTAGCGTAATGTGGCTGGGTACCATGATATCTGGACACACTGTCTGTATTAGGTTGCTGAGGGCATTGTCCTGCATGTTTCTAGATCATCTTAGAGCCTTTGGGCTGATGCTGTGTATGTGGTATACTAATCCAGAGGAATAGATATGGCCAGTTGCTATGTGGTGCTTGTATTGCGCTGTGTGGAGCTTGACCGATGTGTCTCTGCAGGACAAGGATTCCAAGTTCCGCCTGATTCTCATTGAGAGCAGGATCCACAGGCTTGCTCGCTACTACAAGACCAAGAGAGTACTTGCCCCCAACTGGAAGTAGTAAGTATAGAAGTATACTTTTTGCTTTATTGAACTAAACTTTAGCTAGAACTTATAAGCTGTAGAGTTGCACATTTCATTGTCCCATTCTTCACCTGTAAGAACTGAGATATTTCTGATGTGCTAGATCAACACTGGAGGTAAATTAGCAGTCTGGATTGTTTGTGCCAGTGCTGCCAGTCCCCTTCATACAAAGCGCTCATCTGAGTTTATATTATTTCGAGTCCTTTTCTGCATCTAATGCAAATCATTGTTTTTCTCCACAGCGAATCCTCCACAGCTTCTGCACTGGTGGCATAAATGTAAAGTTTTTGGACAAAAATAAACAATGTTTGGATGGATAATTGGTCTTTTTTTTTGTCCCCTGTGTTTGTGCAATTGATTAGTTTGAGTAACTTTGGGATCTGCAGTTTGTGTAAATGCTGGTGATGCACATTGTCAGAAAGGAGTGATGCAGTGTTAATTTGGCCATGTTATGAAATTATTAACCACATAACTTTATCAAACTTTCTCAACATTGTAGCCTGCAGATAAATTAACAATACAGAAGTCACAGATTATTCAAGATTCTATAATGTTGATGTTGCAGTAAAAAAATGTTTCAGTGGTTGAGGAATTGGAAGTTGTCAACCCTTTCCTGTATAGTACTTTTTTGGTGTTGCTTTTTAAATTTCCTTTTAGAAAAGTGGAGGCTTTATGTACTTTTAAATACACTTCTCCCCGATCATATGCTTTCCTGTTTATACATTTTTCAGATGCACCTCACATAAAGAGGCTTGGCTCTTGAGGCTCTTTCAAAGAGTGTATTCACAATACAAAGTCAAGGGAAAAGTGGAATACAGTCTGTGGGAGAGAAAA